AAATTCATAAGCCATAATTAATTTCTTATTTATATTAAATCACAAATCCAGAACTCAGAGGCTTCCGGGTTTAATGTTTCTTATAATATTATTCTTGCAAATTTAAATTGTGTTTGTGAGAAATAAAATATGTCAAATGAGATCTCATTGCGTAGATCTCAAAAAGTTATGAGGAATTAAAAAAAGAATTACCTGATTTGGATACCCGAGTCAAAAGTTACGGCCTTCAGAAGTTTTATGATTAAATTATTATTTTTTTGGAAAAAAAATATGACATGTGTCAATATCTGATAAATGACGCCTAAATTAAGTATGATTGCCTCTTGAGTGACGCCCAATTTAGGCGTCTTGAGTGACGCCCAAATTGGTCGTTATATTGTACAATAAATATATAATTATTTCCAAAACTGTAATAAATGCGTAATTAATTTATTAAAAAACATGGACTTAATTTTTTTGGCTAATCCCGTCAAAGCATTTGACGTATTAGGTCTTGAAGTTTGATAACTAATCATGTCTAATTTGTTGTCCTGCACAAGTTTGATAATCAGGTCTTGCTTGGGTTTTTTCTTAAAAAAAAAAAAGCTAAAAACAAATTAAGTGATAGGACCATGTTTAAATAATGAGTTTGATGTTTGTCATTTTAAATGACATAAGTTATATTATTTTAGGAGAGATATAGAGATAAGAAATGAAAATCATGGGAGAGAAAGTGAGTGATTTTTTTAATTTAAATTTTAAATAAAAAATAATTTCTTGTGTGAATCTCTCTATTAAAATGATGTAACATCTAGAGCGCTGACGAGGGCAGGGAGTAATCGCCGGTGCAAAGGGGCACGGACAAGGAGTGACTCCTGACAGGCTTCCAGCGTGGGGTTACATGCATGAATGAATCGAATCGACACCCGAAAGAGAAGAATTCCAAAGACTGTGCAGGTATGAGACTGCACAGTTTGAGAATAGCTTACTAAATCTAGCCTTTTAATTGGTTCCCACCGCCTCAGTTTCCATCGTTCTAACGCAACAACGTGAGAGAGACAGAGAAAGAAGAAACCCTATTTGTTGTTTTTCTTGTTTACCTTGTTGTTCTGTCCGATCAAACACTTCACTCTTTTTTTTTTCTTTCTCTTGTCGATCTACTCGACTTGTTTTCCAGCGAATTTTCCTAGGAAAATCTGGAGAACCGATAAAAGATGAAGAGAGTAAGGGATGAGGCTCCTCCAAAGAAAACGGTTGAATTTGAAGAAGCTATTAGTTTTGTGAACAAGATAAAGAAACGATTCCAAAGTGATGAGCATGTTTACAAATCGTTCTTGAACATTTCCAATATGTACCGCAAAGAGCATAAGGACATAGGTGAAATTTATAGTGAGGTTGCTACCCTGTTTAAGGATCATCGAGATTTGCTTGAGGAGTTCACCAGATTCTTACCAGATAGTTTCGCAGCACCTTCTACACAGCATGCTCCGGATGCTCGAAATTCATTGCAGCGCTTTAGTGAGCGGAGTTCTATGGCACCCATGATGCGGCAAATGCAAGTATATCGACGAAAGAGGCTTCCTTCTCATGATCGTGAGTGTGATCTGAGTGTTGAACACCCTGAGATGGATGATGACAACACAATGATGAACATGCACAAGAAGCGGAGGAAACGTGAGAGTAAGGATATGAGGATTAATCGTGATCAGGATGAGAGAGAACCTGATCATATAAATGCTCAACAATTTCTTGAGGTATCCATTTCTCCCCTTTTTAACGGTTTTATTGGATGATTCTTTCTCTCTACATTTTCATTTTCCTAGCTCATGGGGTTGGGTTTGCTAGAACTAATCTGACTCATAACTTATTACCCCAAAGTTATTGCTGATTATTTAGGACGAAAATGTTGTTTTCTGTTAGTTGAGTGTAATGCAGTTTTCTCAATCAACCTAGTTAGTTTGAGTATAAGAAGGAATTGGAGTGAATGTAAACTTATTTACATAACAGAATATAATTTTGTGACTGAGTAGGTTCCTTTTTTATTTTTTATTTTTATTTTTTAAGTTTGTTCTGTTTTTTTTTTCTTTGTACGTTTCGTCTGTTCTAGTATGTGTTTATGTTTGTTGAGTAAATGTAAGTATGAGAGAGAGAGGGAGAGAGAGAGGAGGAGGAGGAGAAAGAGAGAAGAGATCAGAGAAAGTTTCTGAGTGAGAACTGTGTTATTGACTTAAGATTAAACTGATTACAGTGTCCCCCCAGCTCAGCAAATCTAACTTCTAACAGAAACTGAGCTGGCACGAAACAAACTCTTAACAGTTCAGAAACTATATCACAAAACACAGAGTTGTCTTTTGCAGTATATATAGAAAGGATACTGATGCAGAGTAAATCATATGTGTTTACTCTATTATAGGCATTACATTTAAGAGAATAAACTTTAATTTAATATATAAGAATGTATTCTACTTTTTCGCCCCTAAGATGGAAATTGTTATAGGATTCTTTGATGGACAACGATTAAAGTGCCACTTTTTTGTAAAAAATTATCTGAATGTCACATTTTGTAAATTTTTGTTCATAATGTCACGTTACCTAACTCGCTTACAATACCTGGTGAGTTAGGCGTTGTCACATTTAGATGGGCGAACATTATTTATAGAATAAAAAATAATAATATTGTAAAGACTCATGTGAGATTTTTGTCAATATAAAATAATAACAGCAGGGATTTGAACTTGCAGCGCTTTCATGAGAAAAAGAAATCTGTCAAGAAAGCTGAAGGTTTTGGGTTGGCTTCAGACTTTTCTTCTAAGGAAGACAAGGATACCTTAAAGAACATGTATAGTCAAGCATTCAGTTTCTTTGAGAAAGTTAAGGAGAAGTTGAACAGTGCTGATGACTACCAAGCTTTCTTGAAGTGCCTTTATAATTTTTTCGTCAGTGAAATAATAAAAAGGAATGAATTGCAAAATTTGGTAACCGATTTACTTGGAAAGCATCTTGATCTTATGGTGGAATTCAATGATTTCCTGGAGTGTTTGGAAAATATTGATGGGTTCCTTGCTGGTGTCATGAGTAAAAAGTCACTAAGATCATCAAAGTTGGAGGACAAAGACAAAGACAAAGAGCAGAAGCGTGAGATGGATGGAGCTAAAGAGAAGGAAAGATACAGGGAGAAGGAGTACATGGGAAAATCCATTAAAGAACTTGACCTCAGTGACTGTAAACGTTGCACTCCCAGCTACCGGCTTCTACCTGCTGATTATCCAATTCCTACAGCTAGTCAGAGATCTGAGCTTGGTGCTCAAGTATTGAATGATCACTGGGTATCTGTGAGTTCAGGAAGTGAGGATTACTCTTCCGAACATATGTGCAGGAATCAGTACGAAGAGAGCTTGTTCAGATGTGAAGATGACAGATTTGAGCTGGACATGTTATTAGAGTCTGTGAGTTCTGCAGCTAAACGTGCAGAGGAATTATATAATAACATGAATGAAAATAAGATCAATATGGAGACTCTGAACCGTATTGAAGATTACTTTACTGTTCAAAATTTAAGGTGCATTGAACGTCTATATGGTGACCATGGTCTTGACGTTATAGACATATTGCGTAAAAACCCAACTCGTGCGCTCCCTGTAATATTGACTCGACTGAAGCAGAAACAGGAGGAATGGAGTCGGTGTCGTTCAGATTTCAATAAAGTTTGGGCTGAAATTTATTCTAAAAATCACTTAAAGTGAAGCAGCAGAAAGAGGATGATATTCTTCAGTCTACTATTGCAGCTGGAAACAAATTAGTTCGGTATTCATGTGATATGAGAGTATGAATGAGGCTGATGGTAGAGTAACTGAGGTAAAGAATGTTCACCGGACTAGTGTAGCAGCCAGTGATAAAGAAAATGGATTATTTTTTGGAAGCTTCACAAGCTTCCACAAGCAGCCAGTGATTTTGGTTTTTCTGTTTATGTTTACTCACTTCAATTCTTTTTCATTACTGGTTTAATGGATTTTATTCAAGGTTAAAATAATAATAATTAAAATTGGTTCTTTTTCACTTCAATTCTTTTTCACTTCGGTATACGGGGTTCTATTATTTTTGTCACTTCAACCTTTGAACCGGAAAGAACAAACTCAAAAATTGAGTTTTTTGATCTATCTACAAATGTTATTATTTGTTTGTTTTATAAATCAATATGTAAAAAGTTCGAGTAATAAGGGACTCGATTATATTTAAGTGAAGTCTTAATTGTGAAAACGAAAAAACAGACATTAAGAGAATATTGTTCCTTTGAGTAAGTTCACTCGACTCAACTCGAAATAATTGAAATTCAATGTATTTTTTAAATACTAAGAGTTTCTGGAAGAAAAAAAGTTGCGGGTTTTTTTCTACCAATTGGGGCCCTCCCTTCACCACCCCTTTGTTTTATAAAGAACAATGGACTATCAAGCCTCTCAGTTGGGGCGGTTATATTTATTATATTTTAGACGTACCACCCTTACTATCTAATTATTTATCAAAGTCGAAATCAGCAATAGTTTTTTTTTTCTTTCTATTTTTTTATTATTGATTTCAAATTGATATAACAATAACCAATCAAATAATAAGAGTGATAAGTCTAAAATAATAATAAATATAACTTTCTCCGCTTCTCAATTCGCTATAACCTTTTTTTCTCCATCCTAACCAAGTTAGTACTCTCAATTTGCCGTTGATTCCAAAGGTCGCCCAAAACTTTTTACCTCAATAATAATAATAATTTTACAGTTGAATATAATATTTTCAATTATATGTTTTGGATTGAGAGTATGAATCGATGATAGAAATATGAATTATTTAAAATAAATAAAAATATATCGCTAAGCATATTTTTGAAAAAATGATAATTAATTAAAAATATCATGATTCATGAAGAAGTAATTATAAGGTCTAAACAGTAACTTCAGTCATCTTAGAACTTGACGGGTTTGGCTGGGAGCCCTGCATATGTTGCACCAGAAGTGTTGTTGGGTAGATACTCAGAAAAGGCGGATATATGGAGTGCTGGAGTGCTCCTGCATGCTCTGTTGGTTGGTGTTCTTCCATTTAAAGGGGATTCACAAGAAGCAGTTTTTGAGGCTATTAAGAATTCCAAGCTAGAGTTCCAAACCGGGATGTGGGAATCAATATCTAAACCTGCACGAGATCTTGTTGGGAGAATGCTGACAAGGGATATTTCAGCAAGGATAACAGCTGATGAAGTACTTAGTAAGTTTAGCGTGCTTTATCTCTCTTCCTCAATGATGAATACACCAAAGACTAGTTGTATTTGGTCTGATTTTTTGTTTTTTAATCTTGAAATAATTAAAATTAGAAATTTCCAAGTTTTGTTGAAAAGTATCTTTGCCTTTCACATGAATTCTTAATAATTAGAAGGATTGCCTTGTTTTGGTTGGGATAACAGTGGTGGGAATCTGTTAATTCTCACATACTTTTATTAGTTTTTATTATGTGTTCTTCTATGTGGCTGAGGCTCTCTTTTTCTCCCTAATGTTTTTAAACAGGAAATAAAATGACAGTACTTTTAAGTTTTAAGAACTGTTCGATTGTTTGCATGTTAAATTAATATTATGTGGTTCAATTTCAGGACATCCATGGATATCTTTCTACACAGAACGTACATTGAAGATCCTGCCCGTTGAATCAAAGTTGAAGCACCAAAATGGAGCTGCTTGCCACAACTTTGTTGCTGCACCTGAACCTAGGTTAGGAAGAAACAGGATGGATGATGGGTTCCTTAATGAGGTTTCAAGCCTTTCTTCATCATCTGAAAGTTGCAATTCAGAATATCATGATGTTTGTGTGTGGATTGATGCACTTGCCAATGCAATTTCACATGTAAGGATATCTGAACCAAAGAGGAGCAAGTTGTGGGCAGTTCCAATTCATCAGCAAGGTTTATATAACATGAGGGCTAACCTCTGTAAAGCATTTTGACCTACTGACAGGTTGACACCCCATAAACCACTATCTCTGCTGCTTTAGCTGGGGTTTTATAGTATACTTTGCCCAACACATTCTACAGTTGGCAAAAGTGGATTACATTTTTTTCCTCTAAATAATGATTACTGAGAAAACTCAGCTAGTTGTACAGAACCTGTGAATATGATATTAGTGTGTCACTGCATGTTTTTGCTCTTGCTGGAGCATGATAAATAGAATGCTATGATTTCACTTCAGTGAAAACTTGACCTAGTCATATGTTTTTTTGGAAGATTTTAATCCGAAACCATGAGTGCATAAGCGTATGTTATCCCTCCCATAACGCTGCATGTGTACTTATTTAGTGTTGGCAATTTGTATTTCAAGACATACTTTTTTGTACAGATGGTAGCGAGGAGTTTGACCTTGAGTCAATTATATATAGCAATGGCGTTTACTTTGAAAATGGAGTTGACAGCTGCTTGCTTATTTTCACTGAAAAAAAAGGAAAAAAAAGTACTTCTACTTGTGTTTAGAAGAGGCGAATCTTAACTACCAGGGGATAGATTTTGAAAGGCTATAAAATTTAGATTCTTTATCTGTTAAGGTGAGGTTAAGGGGTAATCGAGATAATAGGTAGGAACATATTTAGGAAGAGGGTATAGCTGAAAAAGGAAACATTAGATAATTCAATCCAAACCGAAAAAAAATTGGATTGGATCGGATCGGATCGGATCGGATTTGAAAACAAATTAAAACCGAATGCATGATTATATGATTAAACCGAAGGGATTGGATCGGATGAATTTTGCTTCCAAAATCGATCCAATCCAGACCGCGAACACCCCTAGTGAATCATATGCTCGGAAAAAGAAAGAAAATGTGCATATGCTTTGGAATATTTTTTTAACGAAGGAGGTAATTTATTATTTAGATCTCTCATGAGTCATGATGATTAGGATTGGCTCATAAAATGCTAGATTGAAATTAATGTTAAACAAATTTGTTTATTATTAGTTAAAAGAATAGAAAAATATGTAATCATAATAAATTAATTCTAGATTGTAGTAAAAATCATCAAAACATAACCAATCACCAAACTGAATTAATAATTTTTATAAATATAATCAAAACAATTAGTAATTCATGAAAATTGTGAATTTAAAAAAGTTTAAACCCAAAGTTTCTGGTTAGCTCATTACAAGTTGAGAGAAAAGTAAATTAATATGGATTGAATTTTGGTAACTTAAACCAGATTAATTGATAAGTCATGACTCAATTTAACTTTTAGACATAAATAGTTTTGTCAATAAAGAGAGGACAAATGATATATTTTAATTAAAATACGAGATAATTCTCTTTTTGTTTTTATTAGAAGAATGGGATGATTCTCTATAATTTAACCTTATATTTGGATTGAGGGGAGACAAGGGAAGAAAGTTTTTAAAGTTTCAAATCTTTTATCAATTGACTGAAGAGAAAAAAAAATAAAGGAACTAAAATAATAGAAATAAAAAATTAAAAAAATTAGCGTCATCTTTTTTTTTTAATCTTTTCTCTCATTTTCTTCCATGTCATTAAAAAATTATTAGGGCCTCTTTAGATGGGTTTTTCTCTCTTCAAAAGTTGTTTTACTTCAGGAAAAAAAAAGCATGTATGGGAGAAATATGTTTGGACGTCTACTTTTAAAAAGAGTAAAAGTCATAAAAAAAAGTTAAAAATCTTTTTTTTTTTAAATGAAAATTTTAGCTTCTAAAAATAACATAAGTTAAAACACAAATATTTTTTCAAAAACTAAATATTTTTTAAAAATCTAAATAACATTAACTTTTATAAAAAGTACTTCTAAAATAAATAAAATATAAAAATATTTTTTTTGAAAACTCATCCAAACAATCACTTATTCTCATAGAAGTGAAACAGAGCACTTTTATTATTATTGTGAATTTAAATTGGAATCAAGGAATGGGAACACCCATTTATCAAGTATATATTATTTTATTTTTTAAAAATTCCTGATATGAATTAAGAGAAATCAAATAAAGGAAATTCAAGAAAAAACAAAGTCAGGTATTGGATGAAGGAAATTCCTAAGATAGAAATTAGGGAACAAATTAGGGAGAAAGTCAAGAAGAATATCAGAAATGTGTGTAAGGAAAAAAGTCCAATATGATGACAATATTGAATGGTAATTAACCTGGTATTGACCAATCATAAAGGGGGAATAAATACCAATGATTTTCAGATTTCAAATTTGAATTACCATTTCAAAATCCAAGTTAAAGTTATTCATTAGTATTTTATAACAACTCCTACTTTATACATGTTCAATGTTAATATGATGACAATATTGAATGGTAATTAATATGATGAAAATGAGAAACGTGTGTAAGGAAAAAAGTCCAATTTCGTTAATATGATGACTATTAAATGGTAATTAATCTGATATTGAACAATATAAAGAAGGGAATAAATACCAATAATTTCCAGAATTCAATATTTGGATTACCATTTCGAAATCCAAATTAAAGTTATTCATTAGTTTTTTAAAACAGTTCCTACTTTATACACGTTCAATGCTTTTTCTTATATAATTTGACGATATTCATTTTTTTTTCTTACTAGTTCATTATTTTTCTTACCTAATTTGACCCTGTTGATTTTTTTATTCCATAACATGTAATTTGTTATTCCCATGGGATTGGCGGTATCAGATTGATCAAAGTTAAGAGCAATATTAAAAAAAAACTTTTTATCTTTCTTTCTTTATTTTTTAACTTTTCAAAAATTTTAAAAATAGCAGAGGTGAAGATTAACGACCCGTTTGAATGAATTTTTTTTTCAAAAATTGCATTTTATAAGTAAAAAGATATATTTTTCACTATAAGTTATTTCAAAAATCGTCTAACGTCCAAAAGAATGGCTCCACACAATGGCGGAGCCAGAATTTAACTTTAGTTGGGGCAAAAAATTTGACATGTCAAACATTTATCATAATTACACATACCTTTTATTTTTTAATAATATAATATATGATGATTTATATTATTCATTTAAAAACATATTCTGAGATCAATTAGAATAATGTTTGGTTCATTACTTATTATGTTGTGGGAGGAAAGTGAAATTTTATGTTTGAAATGTTTATCGAAAAAGTTAGTGCATTTTTGTATGTTTGCTCTGATATATAATCAACGACAATTAGGCTGCGCATGACAATCATTCTGATTCCTGGCATTGTTTCTGAAAAGGAATGATTCTTTTCTATTTCTGTGCCTTGGAACAATTCTGAGAATCAGAATTACGTTTGTTAACATATTTTATTTTTATTCCGAGAATCAGAATTACGTTTGATAACACATTTTTTTTATTCCGATAATCAAAATTACGTTTGATAACACAATAAAAATCTATTTCTTTACTTTTGTTTATAGATTTCATCAACTGTATAAAATTGCAAATGACAATAGATTTTAACCGAAATACTAAATTTTATATTTAAAAAATTATATAAAAATTTATAATATTTTATTATATAGTTTTTTTTACGACAATTGCTAATATATAGTTTTAACTATTATTTTTCAATCGTCTTCACAATTCACATTTTTTTTTCTCATTCCCTTGACCATTTTATTTTTTAATATCATATGCTAATATATAGTTGTCATGCCTTAACCTCATCTTTGGATTGAGAGGAGAAAATGGAAAAAAGTTTTTAAAGTTTCAAATCTTTTCTCAATTGACTGAAGAGAAGAAAAATAAAGCAACTACAATAATAGAAATCAAAAATTAAAAAAAATTAGCGTCATCTCTTTCTTAATCTTTTCTCTCATTTTCTTCCATGTCATTAAAAATTTATTAGGGCCGTTTGGATGGATTTTTCTCTCTCAAAAAGTTGTCTTTCTTCAGAAAAAAAAAAAGCATGTATGAAAAAATATGTTTGGACGCATGCTTTTAAAAAAAGCAAAAGTCATAAAAAAAAGTCAAAAATCTATTTATTTTTTTAAACTGAAAATTTTAACTTCTAAAAATAACATAAGTCAAATATTTTTTCAAAAACTAAATATTTTTAAAAAATTTAAATAACTTTAACTTTTATAAAAAGCACTTCTAAAATAAGTAAGGTATAATTTTTAATTTTTTTGAAAACTCATCCAAATAAACACTTATTTCCGTTGAAGTGAAACAGAGCACTTTTATTATTATTGTGAAGGAATGGAAACACCCATTATCAAGTATATATTATTTTATTTTTAAAAAATTCCTGATATGAGTTGACAGCAATGGCGTTTACTTTGAAAATGGAGTTGACAGCTGCTTGCTTATTTTCACTGAAAAAAAAAGGAAAAAAAAGTACAGCTACTTGTGTTTAGAAGAGGCGAATCTTAACTACGGATAGATTTTGAAAGGCTATAAAAGTTGAGATTCTTTATCTGTTAAGGTGAGTTTAAGGGGTAATCTAGATAATAGGTAGGAACATATTTAGGAAGAGGGTATAGTTGAAAAAGGAAACATTAGATAATTCAATCCAAACCGAAAAAAATTGGATTGGATCGGATCGGATCGGATTTGAAAACAAATCAAAACCGAAGGGATGATTATATGATCAAAACGAAGGGATTGGATCGGATGAATTTTGCTTCCAAAATCGATCCAATCCAGACCGCGAACACCCCTAGTGAATCATATGCTCGGAAAAAGAAAGAAAAGGTGCATATGCTTTGGAATATTTTTTTAACGAAGAGGGTAATTTATTATTTAGATCTCTCATGAGTCATGATGATTAGGATTGGCTCATAAAATGCTAGATTGAAATTAATGTTAAACAAATTTGTTTATTATTAGTTAAAAGAATAGAAAAATATGTAATCATAATAAATTAATTCTAGATAGTAAAAATCATCAAAACATAACCAATCACCAAACTGAATTCATAATTTTTATAAATATAATCAAAACAATTAGTAATTCATGAAAATTGTGAATTTAAAAATGTTTAAACCCAAAGTTTC